CTGAGGACAATTTAACTCATTTAACAAACACTGATGCACCACCTGACTAATCGCAACAAGATCATCTTAATATGTACAACCTGAAATGAAAATATTAGTTTTGTAAATGTTCTGTTTTGTTGTTTTGTGACTTGCTGTAATAAAAAAAAACATGAACAAGTCTATTCGAGTTATTTACAGATTGTGAAAATGTGGATTCTAATGATGTCAATCACATGGAAACCATGTGCATTTTTTGTAATTCAGAGGAAAATAATAAAAGAAAAATAGACATTACACAATGTTTTCTTTCAGTCTGACATCAATAATTATTTTATTTTAGGTGCTACAAATGCAGTTAGTCAGCGCTGGGCGCAGCGCTGCTCACCGCCTCCTCACCGTCGTATCGCGTTCAGAGGAGCCTCAGGTCGGGCAGACCTAGACCTGCGTGCCGGTGGCATGCTATGTATCATAATGTTGATCTATAAACAATAAAAAGTTCTGCCCAAAAACTAAAAAATATTCTTGCTGGCATGAAATCCTCCTGAATTCTTCAGCTTTTATTTAGAGTCACCCAGTCTTATGCCATTTATCCATTATTATTTTTAAACACAATCATTTGGTAAGCTAACTGTATGCGCCGCACTTTGAACTCTCGTCACAGCTAATAATGGTTCGTTCTGTGCAGTACCATTCGGACCATTAGGGAGACCCTAGTGGTCCACAGTTTGAAAAAGATCTAGAGAACGGATGACTCACCCAGGTTCAGAGAATCCAACGAGTTGGAACAAATCCACTCTGTTGCCGTGGTGACCCGTTTGTCCGACTCCGGCGCAAGAGTCCAGCCTCCAAAAACAAACATCCTGCACACAGATCAATAAAAGGGAGTGTTTACAGGTGGAACCACTCGGTTTTTACTGTGTTTCACGGCCCAGCCTGCAGCACCTGTTTCCAACGACGTTAGCAGAGTGAAGGCTTCTGGGAAGAGGGGTGCAGCCACTGGTTTCAGGCGTGGACCAAACCATGGAGCCTGAGGCGAAGAAGAAGAATACATCAGTTTCGTGGACATGAGCCGCTAACGGTTTCATGAACAACTGGAAGTCCTACTGAGGTCAAGCTGCCAGAGGTCGTTCAGTCTGCAACCCTGCATGCCCCCAAACACGTAGAGCTTGGGCGAGCCGAGGCCGGCGTACGCCACACAGGTGTGGGACTCTCGCGCCGACGGACCGCCGCCCTTGGTGTCGGGAACGTTCCAGCCTCTCGCTCCCGTCAGCGGTTGCAGCTCTAGCTCATAGAAGTCCCCCAGGTACCTGAAAACAACCACAGCTCAATCCATCACACCAGAAACCACCAACACTAAGAAAGTGACATGAAAGCTATCGCCACGGCAACCTTTTCTGTCCCACCACCACTAGTAGAAAAACAGAGTCTGCTAAACTAACTGGAGCTCTGTCAGGTAAGACGGAGATGGAGCTCAACAGCAGACACTCTAAGGATGGATAAATGTTTACGGCGGAGGATCCGTGTTCTTCCAGATGATCACAGATCCTCCTCACAGACACATAGGCCATGTTTAAATCAAAACCTGCTGGTCTCTGGTTTTGATTGGGTCATCATTACATTTTTCAGTCGGACAATGATCTAAAATTAAGGCCAGGACTTTAACGCATTAATTTTTTATGCAATTAAATTACTTTTTTAGTTTTTTATGCACAAAGTTTACGGCTGGAACCTTGTATACGTTTGTTTCTGGCACACCGGTAAATCTGACGCACAAGCGACATCCACAAGCAACGTCTGTTCAATAATTTAGCAGGAAAAGGGATTCTGGATTGAAATTTTTGCTTAATCTGTCTTTTTTAGTTTTTTTGGTTAATTATTGACCAGGCAATTTAATCTGACCACTAATCAAAAAATACAGCCAGGTCAACACTGAACACCGGGACCAGGACTAGACAGAGCAGAGGTTCTTCCCTCTGTTTGCTTCAACTTCATAAGATTAGCAGCAGGGATGCCAAAACATATGGTTAGCATCTTAAATCTGATGCCTGAAAACTCAAGTTCAAGATAAGAGACAACCAAGCAGCCCAGGAAGATGTTTTGTTACCTTGGTACATTCCCGTTGGGGTCCTCGCTGTCATTGGCCAGGCCCCCGAATAGGTAACACTTCCCCCCCGCCAGGGTGAAGCTGTGTCCAATCCGAGGGCAGGGCAGGGATCCGTTCCTGGGCGCTCTGGGTTTCAGCTTCTTCCAGAGCCACCGGCTGGCCTGAGGAGGACAACGCAAGCAGCTCTGGAAGGTTCTGTTACCTAGCAACAGCAGCGCTCAACTACACACCTGACTTACCTGGAGCTCATAGAGGCTGTTGGTGTACTTTCCATACTCAACCATGCCACCAAACACCAGGATCCGGGTGCCTTCGCAGACAAAGCCATGAGCGGCGCACCCAGGTGGGATGTCCCCCCTCACAGCAGGGAGGAACCACTGTTTGGAGACTAAAACAACAACACAGGTATCAAACCAGCTGCTGCTTTAAAAACATGGTTCCACAGCTTTGACTTAGAGTTCCCACTTGACTTGATGCTTTTTGCCATCATCAGTGATTTTCTGGCAATAAAGTGGCAGAATTAACTTTTATGAGAAGATGTGGAGCTCTTTTAAAGCCAGCGTTTAAGCATAGTCCAGATATTTTGAACAGGATAGGATCATCTGCTTTCTTAGTTCAAAAACTAACCTTGGAGTGTCCAGCATGATGCTGCCATCACCATGCATTTCTTAGGATTTAAAGTCTCACCTTAAATGGTTCAAATTAAAGGTGCTTTGATTCCTTATTTCACCCTAAAAATTACTATTCAAATATCCCTCAGGGATGCAAAATATAATATTAACGTCCATTACTAATGTATGCGATAGACGCTAAAACACAGAGGGAGACAACTGAGTTCAGCCACTTAAAGTAATATTACTGAACCCACTTTAACAAACTGGCTTTAAACAAAATAAAACAATGACAAGTGGCAGAATATGGTAGTTTTATGAAGTAAACAAACTTCGTGTCAAGAGCTGGGCCACTTTCCTCCGCTACAAGCTAAAAACATTAGCAGCTAACGTTAGCTCACCCGTGTTGTAGACATGGAGGTCCTCCGCTATCCCTTCATTCCCGCCACCAAATACAATGATGAGCTCGCGGATTGCGGCCGCCCGGTGTCCATGCCTGGACCGGGGAACGACTCCAGTAACGGAGTGAACCTTTCTCCACTGCGGCCCCGCAACACTGCCGCTCATTTTCCCCTCACGAAGGACCCCGAAAGTTTGGCGCTGTTGACGTTTCAAAGATGGAGGCGGGGCCAAAGAGGAAACAGGAAACTCAACCGGAGAGAGGGAAAAACTAAAGACCTCTCACTCTGTTAAGTATTGGTTGTATCAAAAAAAAAAGGAAGTAAGGAAGGAAGGAAGAAGAGAACAAAGGAGATTCATCAATACCAACGACCTAAGTTATTTAGCAAACTAACCAATAATTATTATTGTTAAAAATATGAACTGTCACCTAATACACCGCACTAATCACTTCCTCTGTGTTTATTCTCAGTGAGCACCTTAATATTTGCTGTAATTGTTTCAAAATTCTTTAAAAGTTTACATTTGTTCAGAATTGAATGTAACAGTGCGATGTAAAAATGCCTATTGCTCAAATCCAGCAAATGCTTTTCATTTGTACTTCAATGCAATCCTCCATAAATACACAAATGTATACTTTACACCTGTAAGAAATTTAGAGGTGACAAAATAAAACAGATATTAGCAGACTGATTAAGTAAAAGAAAAGTAAGTGATAAAATCCTATTCATAAGCACATTTTAGTATATATTATTTGAAAGGATTTCATTTTCCTAACCACTGTGCCATTCAGTAATCTCTTCCATCACATTTAGTCTACGCATCAACTCTGAATAATCTCCTCATATTAGTTAGACTCTTCCTAGTCAAGAAAGAAAGCCAAAATAAGCCTTGTTGTGTGGGAAGCAGACATGAAACTGAAGCCTCGGCTTCTCCAAAATTAAAAAATGGTTTAGATCAAAGGATATTTATTCACTAGAATGGTCCAATCAAAGTTCAGACCTAAATGCAAATAAGAATGTTTTGCCCAGACACGAAATTTGCCATTGATGGATGCTGACTAAGCTTTGTGATATGGTTTCAAAAAATGAATGTGCAAAACCTGTGGGTTTTGTAAATCATATTTAAGTCTGTGGTTTATTGGAAAACATGTGGAACATTCAAGCCACCGCATAAACACACCGACTTGTTGAGAAACTGCTTCTGGGTTGCGTCATGTATATTCTCTACATGATTTGTGTATTTCAAAAGACAAAATCTGAAAAGTGTGACATTCATGTACATGTGTTCAGTCCCCTGGTGGTGGCAGCACCATGCTGTGGAGCTGCGCTGGAAAAAACCCCCCAAAACAAAACAAAACAATCCTAAGGAAATTGATTGAAGTGGACAAAATGTTAAGCACTTCCAGAGTTAGAATGACTTTTACACTAAATCGAGTTTTGAATGTTATCTGACCAGTAAAACGGTACATTTTAATAAAAGGAACTCAAATGCTGGGCTATGTTTTTCACATTTCCGGTAGGTCGGCTGACCTAGGTCGCGCGCGCACGCGCGCGCGCGTGTATGTGTTTAGAAACAGGAACCCCTCCTGGTGAGCAGGAAGAGGGTGACGTCAGTTGTCACTTGGCTCTGAGCTCTCTCTCTCTCTCTGTGTGTGTGTGTGTGTGCGTGTGTGTGCAATAGTAGGATTACACTGTCAGTGTGTACAACGGCTAGTTGTGTGATTTGCGCGAGCGTCCGTGCGCATGCATGTGTAGGTGTGTGTGCAAGAGAGAGAGTGGTTTTAAGGGGCGTGTTTATAGGAAATAGAGATTTTTGCGCGCGCGCGTGTGTGTGTGTGTGTGTGTGTGTGTGTGTGTGTGTTTACACAGACGGGAATACTGCTCCAGAGGAAGTGCGCTCGTTCTCCGTCTGCGCGTCCCGACTTCCTGCTCTGAGGCAGGAGAGAGAAAAGCTGCGGATCCGCTTTCAGACAGCGGGGCAGCAGCAACGGCAGCAACAGCAGCATGGAGCCCCGACACAACACACACGCTCTGCTTTAAGAGCCAAACTCCCACGACACGCGCGGACAGACGCACAGAGAGAGAGGAGCCGCGGCCGTTCACAGCTGGGTAGGTGCCAACTTTCCTTCCGTCTCCAACTTTCTCAAAGTTACCTAAAGGCAGCATCGAAGTGAACTAAAAAAAAAAAAAAAAACTAAAAAAAAAACTTGTGATCCGTTCAAAAATCATTTCTGAGCACAGAAAGCGCAAATCCACACCGCCAACTTGAAAAGCGCAAAAAAAGAGAAGACGTGCGTAAAGTGTTAAAGCCGTGCGTAAAAATGTGTAAAAGGTTTCCCCAACCAAACAGCGTTCTTATGCGTGACACTATCACAGATTTAAAGGGGGAATCTAGAATGAGGTCGGTGTGACAATTGGTGAGGGAAGGGAAGTAAAAATGAGCCGTGGCTCCTTTAAAACCTGCTAGTAGACTTTCTGGTTTGTCTGGACCTCGCAGACTAATTGCCATGCGCTTCCGGATAGAAGCTGGCAGCAGACAACATCTTGAAAATGAGTCACAGACTGCCGCAAAACAAAGAGACGTTTGAGTTCCAGCAGAACCCCCTTTACTCCCTCCTCACTCAGACTTTTTTTTTTTTTAATCAGAGCGGAGAAAATGGAAGGAGAGTCATGGTTTGGGTTCTTCCTGCTGACCTGAACAGAAACAGAGAGGAAACGGGCTCAAACAGTGGGCTTTTATTTTGAAATCAAATCTTAAAACATTTGCTTTAACAGATAACATAATTTGCTAATATCAGGACACCAATGTTCGATTCCAGTGGTTATTTTAGCAGAAGTATGATCAGTGTGATTGAAAAGATGAAAAAGAAGGTGTTTTGGTCAGATGGTTACATTTTTGGGCGACATAGAAACAATGAGAATAATTCATCATCATGGAGTACGGTGGTGGCAGTATCATGCTGTCAGGATGCTTTATTATTTTTTCAGCTGATGCTAAATACAGTGTGGTTCTTGGAAGACTTGGAACAGTTCAACTGGTAACATTCCAGTTCTGAAAGTTTTCCCAAAATGTGTACAAGGACACCCATGTCGGTTAGGTGTGCATGTGTGTGTGTTCTTAAAAAAAACCTTCTACATCTGCTGGGTGTTGTAAGAACTGAGCTCTAAAAACAAACAGCGAATGTGTGCGCTTGTTCCCGGTGCTTCCCACCGACAGGAAGTCCTGGACAGCCTCTCACCGGGAATGACGCCCCTGAAGCTGAATGACAGGAAGTCCTCCTGTAGACAGTTAGACATCACCGCGGTTCCTCCGTCACCTCACTCACACGCGCATGCACGCACACGCGCCAACACACAGCAGCACACATTCATACAGGAAATAGGAAGCGAGAACTCGGTCAGTTGTGTGCTTGCGAGGCTGGTGGGTCATTGTTTTGTACTTTCCCCTCGTTTTTGTCCTGCTGCTTGGTTTCCTTTCACAAAGACAAACAGATTCACAAACAGTCATTTCTCATATTTCCACCGCTGCTGCACAATATGTTGTTCTTATGAAGGCAGGCAGAGCTACAGTTCTCAGAGCGCACACAGGAACAGACACACACACACACAGGCAGTCAGCGGTTTCCAGGTAAACACGTCGGTTAGGGCCACGCTTGTCTTGGCAGAAGGGTCACTAACCACATCCTGTTTTATCACCATGGAAACATCTGAAAGCCATGTGACGTATGGACCTTTCTCACTGACTCTCAGTCAATATGAAACTATACTGAAGGAGGAAAAGCTTGCCAGCCACTGTGAGCAACAATTATTACAATTTGTTCCACTCAGTGCCGTGCAAAATGTTAATATTTTAGACTCTCACATTTTTCAATAACAACCTTTGATGTATTTTAGTTGATTTTTGTATTGTAATATTGAAAATGGGGCACACCTCCTCCTCGTCCCCTATGGTGGTGGCAGCATCATGCTGTGGGACTGCTCAATTTATCTATGGAAGTTGATCAGAGATGGATGAGAACATGAGGGGAAAACCCTCCCCCCAATAAAATCAAATCTGTGGTTGTAATAAAAAATGTAAAAAAGTTTAGGGGAGTAAGAATTACGTTTACAAGGCACGGTATCTGTAGTTACAATCCAACAGGGGTCAATTAGTAGAAAATGGTCATACCAGCTGTTTATAACCTGTGGAAGGAAGTAGCAAAACCGCATGCCACCATGTCTGCGTGTAGTGACATGTGGCAAACATAAGCCCTTCGGTACCAGAACCCAGAGGACATGCACTAACATTTTTGCTCTTATGCTTACTTTAATTTCTCTAGAGCTGCCAACTTGAAGAGCACTGCTAATTTTAGCACGCTTTAGCTTTCACATGGTTATTTGTGGTGATCTCCACGCAAATGTGTCTTAAAAGATAACATTTTTGCCATTAATTTTGATGCCAAAAGCAATTTTTCAACAAAGAATTCCAAACAATCCATGAGTTACAATTATTTTTGAGACTCTTTAACCTCTGTAACTTCTTTAGACCTACTCAGGATCTCTTTCTTTTAAATTCTGATGGCGCTAATGTTGTTGTCACCATCTACTCCACCTGCAACCCCAGTGGTTTAAAAAACCTCCACCTTTTTAAATTCAATTCCCAAAGCTTGTGTAGATATAGACATTTTTAAAAACAGGAAAATCCTTCCTAAACTGTGCATCCAACCCCTCTGTCTAAATGCTTGAACGAGTTTAGCTCTTAGCTTAACCAGCTTAATTAAGCTAACCAGCTAAATTTAGCTAGCTAGTGAAATTAAAGTAGCTAGCTTAATTACCAAAATTAAGTCAGGTAAGGTAGCTAAATTAAGCTAGCTAGCTAAGTACAGCCTAATCAGCTAAATTTAGTTTATTAAGTTAGCTTAATTTAGCATATTAAGCTATCTAAGTTAAGGTAGATAGCTTAGTTAAATTAAACTCGGTACATGAAGGTAGATGGCTAAAGTAAGTTAGCTACTTAGATTAAGCTAGCTAATAATAATAATAATAATAATAATAATAATAATAATAACAATAATAGTCCAAATTTCATACCACAAACAACCAAAGCTGGTATGACAATAAAAAGAATCCTAGAGTCCTTGGATCCTAACTCGGTGCTTGTCTAATTCCCAGTTGCAGAACCCCCGGTGCCTGTGTCGTCATGGAGAGCTCCATCACCCTCTGGCAGTTCCTGCTCCAGCTGCTGCTTGACCAGAGCCACAAACATCTCATCTGCTGGACGTCTAATGATGGAGAGTTCAAATTGCTCAAGTCTGAGGAGGTGGCCAAACTGTGGGGGCTGCGAAAGAACAAGACCAACATGAACTACGACAAGCTGAGCAGGGCGCTGCGCTACTACTACGACAAAGTATGCGCATGTGAACTACAACACATACAAAACTGATGCAAAATGGAGGTTTAAGTTGACACGTCTGTTTTTTTTCTTCCCTATTTGCAGAACATCATCAAGAAGGTGATTGGTCAAAAGTTTGTCTACAAGTTTGTCTCGTTCCCTGAGATTCTGAAGATGGACCCTGCAGTTGTGGAGTCGGGTCACAGTAGCGAGGAGGTTGGGGGGACGACGTCAGAACCTGAAGCTGAAGAGGAGGATCGGACTGACAGAAACCAGTATCGCCACTCCAACTTATACTCCTCTTTCACCATCAGCTCCCTGCAGCACGCTTTAGAACAGCAGCGGCCAATCAAAAAGGAGCCCAGATGCGAGGAAAGCTCCTCCGTCATCCGGTTCGTAACCAACGGCGGCCACTCGTCCCTTCCTCCAACACCACCTCCATCCACGACAGACAGCCCAAATTCCTCCGTGCTGTCTCCTCGGTTGGCCAGCTCTTTGTCCCCATCCCAAAGCCCCGCCCACATACGGGCAAGGGGGCAGAGCCTTAGCGCAGATACTGAAGATGTCGAATGCAGTGCTCAACCTTTAAACTTGTCATCTGGTCAGAGGGAAAGAGAGAAGCTACGGTGCACACGAACACCAGAGAGGAGGGGGTTGGCCAACAGTAACCCTTTAAAAGGCAGAAAACCCAAAGGCTTGGAAATCTCTGCCTCTCCTCTTCTCCTGACAGGAAGTGACCTCGTCTCCATTGCCCTCAACAGCCCGGCACTGCCCTCTGGGTCTCTTACCCCCGCCTTTCTGACCACACAGGTATGAATCAACATTATACAGCCAATAACACCACCGAACCTCCCCAAACTTCCCCTGGAAGCACAGTCTGTAATAGGTAACAGGCAGAGGAGAGGAAGGAGACATTTCTGATGCGGAAAGTCAGACAGGGAGGGGACGGAGAGAGGTGAGCGGAAAGAAAAGGAGGAGGGGAGGGAGGACTGAGGAGGTTTCTAAGTGAACCCATATGTTCTTGACGCTCCTGATTCACTGGCAGCAGCTCGCTGACCAAAACAGGACAGACTGACTACATTCAGGCCCTCAACTGACATTCTTATCCAGACTGAGTAATCATATACTGCTGTGTGTAAATCACTGACAGAAACCAAAGGAAGTGGAGGCTGAACTCATTACTCAATATGTCAATGGTAACACCTACTCCTTTTGGTAACTAGAACCCCTTCCCTAGCAAACCAACAGGAAGTACGTTTACAGAGATTTGATACTTTCTTTGAAATTTGTCCCCATTTGCTTTAAAACCAAATCCAAAATAAAGATCCTTGTAGTGACATGGAAACCAACTCAGATAAACAAATAAGACCATCAAACCACCTAAAATGAAATGTTAAAAATAGCTGAAAGAAAATGAACAGAATTACCTAATGACATTACAAGAAATGGTCTGACTGATGAATGACTAATAACTGACAAGGAGCTTCATAACTATTTACAGGACAAGTGAGGAGGAACTTTGTGGCATTTAAGGCATGCTAGGAAATCTAGGTATGAAATTAGCCTGAGAAAGAATTAGTTCCTTCATTTGAGCAAAGTTTCAGATGAAAAGCTGTTTTTGCAACTTTTTTTGATTGAAGAAGCTATAAGTTGGTCATCATTGCCAGAATTAACCATCTTCTCCATACTCTATGTGGATTATTTTACTTTGATTTTTTTTTTCTGTATTTCCCTGACCTTCCAGACTCCATCTGGCCTGTTGCTAACTCCCAGTCCTCTGCTGTCCAACATCCATTTCTGGTCCGGTCTGAGTCCGGTGGGACCTCTGAGCCCAGCCCAACTGCAGAGCCACGCCCAACTCTTCCAGGTAATCTTCCTTTCTTGTGTTTGAGGCGATATCCTTCAACGGATGTCTGGTTTTCCTAAACACCCCTGGGTTCAGCTTAATCAGAAATACCCACATCATCTGACTCAACCCCTTCAGCTCATATACAGGTAGCTATTCAACTGTATTTTAAAACTTGTAATTTATGTCGAACCAAGATAACCCAAATTCCTCCTTGTTGTCAAAATGTTGTTCGTTCGTCTGCTGTCATAAAACCCAAACATTTATGAGGCCCAAATACATCTACACTATCTTTACCCGAGACCCAAAGTTTGTGGGTATTCAACCAAAGCCGAAATCATAAAGCTAACAGTGCTTGACCTTCAGAGATGACGCCATGCATATTGATGGGAAGTTGGTTAACCCTAAAAGCTATTCCAGCACTAATAATAGTCTAAGCATACTTGTTTATGAGTAGGTACCCTTTGAACTGTAGCTGAGGCTGAAGTGGACTTCAAATAAACCAAACACACCATAAAGGGATTCTGCCAGCAAATCAAGTCTAGAGGATATTGCCAAGTACATGAATTTCTTTCAAAGACCTCTCAAAAAAGGCAGAAACTTTAATCCCCACACACTCCGACTTAATTTGTAATCACAAGCGTGAACTGGTCGATGGTAGAGCGCGACTCACTTCTGGCCAAAACAGGTCTCGCTAGAAAAACTTCATAAATTGCTAAAACAGTCTTTAATGTTTTCTATTGTGCACTTTACTAGTTCCCCACACTGATGAATGGAGCCATTCCCATTCCTCCTTCCAACGTGGACACGCCCTCTCCTCTACTGCTCACGTCCAGCTCCCACAAGTCCTGATGCCAGCAGGAAGTTGGTTCCAGAGGGGCTGAGGATGGTCAGATCATCATCATCAAGGAGACCATCCTAAAGCTTGGATGAAATTCAACCTGACTGAGTATACTTACAGCTGAGACTTCTACCTTCATTCCAGAAGAAACTGGAGCTCCACTCTGAGGATTTGCTCTCTAAGAAGAGCATAGTTTGGTTTGTATGTTTACTTCAGGGTCCCCATCATACTTGTGGTAAAACATCTGACATGGCGTCAGTGTTCCGTGTCTCTCATCTCGTTTGATTGCCAGTCTCTGCCCAAATGTAGTAAAACCTCAACAGAACACATCTTTTCTTTTGCCATCTTCTGTAGCCGTCGTGAGTAACTCCATGAATTTCTTTGCCTTGGATGCGAAGCAATTCTTGAACATGTGTGAAGTAAAAGAGAAAGCATTACAGTTGAGAAGTAGAACTGTGAAAACTTCTCTCAGCCTTCGGAGACTAAATGCAACCCGAGTTCCCATGTCTAGACAGCACATTAAGGCTTTTGCTTTTTTGTGTATTCAAAAAGTTTTAAATGATCAAGTAAGTTATCAAAATGTGTTTGATAGCTTAAAACTTTATACTCACTAACGGGAACAATAGGTGTTTTCCCACCTTTTTGTTATCTTAAAGCTAAGCTAATTACTTTCTTGTACCTTACATTCAGAAATAAGTTTTTTTGCCCAAAAAAAGGTTATATATATATAACAAGTTTATAATACAAAAAATAATTAGGAAATTAGAATCTAACATCATCATGACGTTTTCTGTCACTTTTGAACAGATCTGGCATCTTTTTCTGTCACACCTAACTGCCAACAGTTTTTTAATGACCAGTTTCTCTTTCCTGGATATGGAAAGGCTCAGGATAAAATTTTATCAAACGCTGGAAAACATAAAACTGGGCTACATGAGATGGGACCATAAGCGACTCCTAGCAAAGCATCTGCTAGCCAGAGTAAAACTGCAGCGTAAAATTGATGCACAATTTTCTATACTTTTTATTATTTTTGCACTGTACTGTACTTTTAAGCAATCTTTGCTGTAGCTTTTATGATGAAAGATTTCTGTAAATGTGTCAAAAGCTTTATATCTTGGCCAAAACTGCACAAATAGCTTTTTTTTGTAGCTGTGAAATTGCTCCTGTTTCTTTTTGTTTGTTTTATTTTTTAGGAAATATGACAGCAAATTATCCATGTTAATTAGTTTCTTATTTTGTGTTTTAAAATAAATTACTTTCTTTTTCAAAAAAAAAAAAAAAAGAAAGGGGTTTTTGGTTTCCAATGCGTTTACCTTGAAGACCTTTTCTGTCGTTATTCAGAAAATGACTGTTACACAAGCATTTTATGAAACAAATTTTTAAATTTTTACTTCTGATGGTTATGAGAAATAAATAGTTCCAGTAAAAAGAGTCACACATCAACTGTTCACCGGCAGCTCAGTGTTTCAGAGAGTTTGAGTTGACAACACAGCAGGCCTTCCATGCATCAGGCACACACATTTCCACACACACTCGGACATAAAACACATTAAATCACCCATTCATCTGAAAAAAAGTACAGTTTTACAATGATAAATATTAAGCCGTTTTAGAAATCTCCTTTCGTGCATGTTACTGCTGTTCATGTACAAAAAAAGTAATATTAGCAGAAACACAGTTTGCAGTTCACAGGGGAACGATCCTTAATTTAGATAAAGTGGAATATAAACAAAAAAAATATGGAAAAATTAGATGTACATGGTTCTAATTTCCAACTTAAAAATTACAGTAATACAGGAAATATACCATTAATATAATGACTTCCTGTTTACAGTATGTCATGCATGTACTTTATTGTGTAATCACAATTTAATATCTCAAATTAGGAGTGCATGTTCAAACCATTTAGATTAATAAGATTTGTATTGTTTACTGGATCATTGCACCATTACCTGCAATCTGTGTTTGATGTTAATATTATTACATTAATGATTTCAGATATAAGTTTATCAAGCTTTTCCAGTGCTTCCAGCACTCTTCTAGCATGTGCTACCTAATCTGAAACAAAGAACACTAGTGTCGCTTAAACAAATCTTTTTCCTGTCACAAAATACAGTTTTCAGTCGGCCGCCGAACAAAAGAGCAAAAAGAAAACTTCCCTCTGATCCCCTGACAACTTTCAGTTTTATCTGGATGTTTAATGCACTCCCAGTCTTTTATTTTTAATAAGCTTTTAATATTTTCTGATTTATTAGCAGTTCACCTTGTGAAGCTGTTAACGTTAAATGTTTCCTGGTTATGCATTTAAAAAACAAACAAACAAAAAACCCTACGGTTACATTTTTGCCAAGCGTTCAACAAAACTCTTAGTTATATTTAAAGCTAACTGGCTAAGCTAACCTATAGCTTCAACTGCATAGTTATTCACACTAATGATGTACCTCTTAAGTCAAAAAGTATATATTCTTCTTTATACCAGAGATTGTAACATTTAAACAAACACTGTTTATTGACCTAAATTTGTTTGAATGCATACCTCATCATGTATGTTTAGCTTCAGCGCACAGCTAGCTTGCGCACCTAAAGTTAGCATAAAAAGAGAAATCTGCTGAAGTTAACCTAGCAGGGAAATAATGTTCACTACACATCTAATGCTGCCTGATAAATTTTCACAAAGTAGATGTCAAAACAGGGTTTAGTTTTATAGGCAGAGAAGCGATAGCATTACATTAGCTCCTGCAAACTGTACTTTCTAAACTTAGCAAAACGACCGCGGTTGATATTTAATGATGGTCAACACAGGAAAAATCTGACCCCAGGAATGCAATGAACATCAGTTGTCATGTAAGAAACATTCAGGGACATTTTCTTATTGCTACAGTAAACTTATTTAAAAGAGAGACTCGCAAACAGGTTTAATCATCTTTAGCATCACTGTCAGTTGCTAACAACACATCAGCAGTAAAGTCTTGAGTTTTAATCTCTGTGTTGTAAAAATGCTGTGGCTCGACATGAAGTGGGAAATTGTTGCTTTTAGAGCATCCACATTGGTGCTGTTTTCCCGAGGAGAAGTCACAGAACACATCTTAATACTGTTGGGTAAACTCAGCCGTGTTGAGGCCCATGTCCCTGATGAAAACAAAACAAAAACAAAAAAAAAAAAGAAAAAATGCAAACGCTTGGAGTGCAGGGTAAAATTTCTGAATGTACAGTTGCATCGAGGCTCTCGACATTCGGAGGGTTTGCAGACTTGTCCAAGCTTTTATCTCGGGTTCTGGTTTTTCTCATTACTCAACAATGCTGTCCGGTTGTCTCCCCAACAAGGCATGGGCTGGTCTCTGGTGTGTTGCTGCACCAACGTTTCAAACAGCTACGGTTTCAAAAACTGCTAATTTTTGTGCCCATGAAAAATGAAAACCCAGATTAAGGAGCCAGGCCAACCAGAGTTTTCTCCTGTGTATGATGGACAGAGTAATGCAGCGCTGCGTCGTTTAACTCAATTAAACGAATCCGGATGTTTGTGATTTTCTCGACTGGAGCTATTTTTCAGACAAGCATGGTGTGGAAACCAAACATTTCTGTATTAAATTTACAGTTGGCAGGTCTGTAAAGCAGCAGGCTGCAGGCTACCGGAACAGATTAACCAGGTAATTAGATTTCTGTTTCTCTGCAAAGAGCAGAGTGTGTTTAATATTAAATTTAATGACAATTTATTCCATATTTGTATGAAAATAAAAATATGTTAAAGTAACATAACTGTAGCATATGAAGTAATAGTTTCTGCTGTTCCAAGTAAATGAAAGATTATGTTAGAAAATTTTCCTAACACACAAGGATACCGTTTAGTTTTTTAATCATGGTTATTATAGAGAATCTCACACCAGCCCATGCCTATTTCCATTTTTTGTCTCCGTCAGATTTGGTCCTGTAGATTTACCAGAGTGAGCAGAAACCCAGCGGCTAAAACTGTTAGCTTCGCTCAGCCCTCAGCTGCCAGGCGCTATGCTCAGACTTTCAGTGGAACCCCCCAAAGGCCATCGGGCCCTCAGAGAAACACAGTTCTTCTGAAACACATTGGGGTGAAACACATTGGGGGGGAAAAAAAAAATATCTAAGATGGGAAATCCATCATCATCATCATCATCACCATCATCACCAGTCTTTCTCGTTCCCCTCAAAGTCAACACTGTCGTGTGCTGCAGCTTTTTGAAATGTAGAAACCTTGTATAGATCAGTCACGGAAGCTCGAAGGAAAGAGAACAAAACAAAACAACAACAAAAAAAAAAAAACAATCTCCAAATATACATGTACATATATACACATAAATATATATGTATAGATATACAGAATGCATAAAAATTTTGAAGAAACTGCAGCCGTTGCTCTGTAAGCACAACAATGAAACAACTTCATCACAGCGTCGACATCAACATCCGTTGACTTTCAAACTAAAGATACCAAAGAATTATAGTCAGGAGAAATAACAGTAACCTAAACAGACCACTTAACTGTGCATGGCGTCTTCAGTTCACATCATGTGCACGAACACACACGTGTACACACACACACACAGACATGTTATATAGTAGACAGTAGTAGTTTAGCAGCAAAATAAGTTAACCTCACACTCCAATAAATAAACAGTCTCCAAGCGTTTTGACTCAAAGTCACTCATTCAGCATTGTGTATGTGTGTGTGTGTGTGTGTACGCGTGTGAGTGAGTCCAGGCGAGGGAGTGAGGAGAGACGCTCCACAGGGAGGTGGGCTCATGCGAGGAGTTGCTGGGAGGTGCAGATGAAGCTGGCCGGCTGGCCATCCTCTTCAGGAAACATTAGAAAAGCATGCTCTGCCTTCTGTTGATGTTGCCGTTACCTGGAACAACAATACCCATGATGCCATGGGCCTCATTACACCAAAATACAAGCACATCGAAAAAAGTGAACATTGTGGTTTTTTTGGTCTCATTTCAGAAATTTCAACCTGTTATATATAGTAAAGTACTTTCAGCTAATATTTCTTGTATTTTTGATGATTAGGGCTTAAAGATAATTTAAACTCAATCTTTTTGAGGAAATCAGTTGATTAAAGTGACACCATAAGTTTCTAATATTTAACTTTTTTATAATAATAAAACTTTTTTGAGAGAATGAATTTAGGGTTTTCATTATCTGTAGGCCATCATAATCAGAACTGCAAGAAACTCCAAAGATAGTTACTGATGATGTCAGACATCTGTGATTTGGCTTGAAAACTAAAATGTTAGAGAGTTGAAAACTGGAGGTGGTGTTGCTAAAAGTCGGAAAATCTCAGATACAGGAAGAGTTTCAATTGATACTTGATTCCATTTGAATTATGGGAAATGAAATGAGATTCATGGCCCACCTGACTCGGGGTAGGAGGAGTTCCTGTAGCCGGGGTCCCTCTGAAGCTGCAGCTCTTTTAACGTGAACATCGACACGCCTGAAACACGGAAGAGACAGAAACTCAGCTAGCTTAATTTGATAACTTTAGCTGGAACACAGCTAGCCTAACAAAAAATCTTTAGCTAGCTGAAACAGGCGACAGCAAGCTTAAAGAAACATGTTAGCTAGCTGGAACACGATCGACACCTAGCAACACATTTAGCTAGAGAGACAGAGAATGAACTAGCTTAACGCAACATGTTGCACTAACTGAAACACAGGAGATAGCCATCTTAACAAACTGAAACAAAAGAGACATCTAGCTTAATGCAACAGATTTAGCTAGCTGAGACACAAGAAACAGCTAGCTCAATGCAACACATCTAGGTAGCTAAAACACAGGAGTCAGCTAACTTAACACAACATGGGACAGGAAATCAAAGAACAAGTAATGCAGGAAGGCTTGAGGAGAGCAGACAGCAGCTGGGATTGCACAGGGCATGTGTGTGTATATATGTGTGTGTGCTCACTTTCAGGCAGTGTGTGGACTCTCATCCCAAGCTGCCTGAAGTAGGAATGTTTCATCGCCTCATCAGCTGAAATCCTCGCCTTGGACTCGTACTGCAGAGACACAAAAGTCCTATGATTCATCACCCACTAGAGAAATGTGAATGATTCACATTCACTCACATTATGAGTCAAAGTGGTGAAATATAGCAGAGTAAGCACATGTGGATTCCTAAGGGTGAATAACTGCACCCCCTGCTGTCTGCATGTGGTACTGACTGAATTCAGATCCAACATGATTAAATCTAGATAACTGATGTGACAACAGGGAACTGGGATCTGGTGGGGAATCAACTATGGCACCCTCAACACTAATTAGCACCTTTAGCAGAGATATATAGAATGACTTCAAGTAAATGCATCTTTTATTTCTTTAGAAATTTGAACCAAACATTTCAGAAAAACCAAACTTATAATTTATTCTTTATTCTTTCACGTTCCAGATTTTATATTGGTGCATTTTAACTTTTTAGAGAAAATGGCATGAATAATTCCTTGAAATAAAATAACATGCTATCTTATTAGCAGAAGATAACTGAGCCACCAGATATTTTGTTACATCTCTACTGACTAACGTTCAATTTTCATTATTAACCCTTCCAATTCCTGCAATTTGACCAGGAAGTAACCACATGATGGACGTAGAAATGCTAAGAAGACTCTATTACAATAAAAGAAGAATTTATAGAAAGATTTCTACACATAAAGGGGCGCCAATAAATATGTTCAGTTTTCTGGCCGATCACTGATCTTTAAAAAGATTGACCTGCTGGTTCCAATTTGAGCCGGCACAGATTTTGTTTTTATCTTAAAATTGATAAATATATTGACAAAGTTGCTAAGATGGCAATAGTGGGGTGAATATTGTTAAAAGAAATTTGGGAAAATTTATTGGCTAGTCGGATTAATGATGCACTCCTACTTGTATTCAAATACTTTTCAGACTAAGCCGTGACAACCTTCTACTAAATGAATCCTAGTCCCAGACGTGTGTGCTGTGCGTTGGTTGACACTTACTCTGAGGAACGCCAGCAGCAGCTCAATACCGTCGCTGTCCAGCCTGAAGGAGAAGAGAAGAGCAAGAGCTCAGTATCTACCAGCAGAAAGGGCTGATGGGAATGTGGAGGACTCATGGGAGGAAGGAAGCGCATAGCCGGCTCTAATGTTCGGCAGGATTTCCTGCCTGAAATGGCCAAACACACTCAGAAATGCACAACATCACTGGACACATTCAAACCAGCCAGGGGGTGCATAACGAGAAATAAACGAGCACAAAACAAGAAGAAGAAGAAGGAGAAGAAGAAGAAGAAGAAGCAGCGTGTACCTGGGTGCGTGATTGATCAACGGCTGTGGTTTGTATTTGGGGAAGTTGTAGGATTTAAACTCTTCAATGGTAGAGATTCCTGGCCAGTTCTCCTCTGTGGGCGTGCCTGAAGTAGTAACAGTCCAATCAGACACAGTCAGATGGCTAATAGCTAGCGTTACCATGACAATCGCGTTCAGGATGGGATCCTCACCCAGCAGCCTGAAAATGAGATGGAGCTCATCCTCCACGGTGGAGCCGGGGAACAGAGGCCGACCTGCAGCCATCTCGTAGAATATACAGCCCACCCCCCTGCAGAGCAAACAGCCAATCAGCTGGCAGAATAACAGCGGGCTGGAGAAATGTCACCAAGGCAACATGGTGAGAGGAGGAAGAGGAGCAAGGAAAAAGCACTGCGTGGTCGGATGTTTCTCTGGGTTTAGATATATATCTGACTCCGTCTGCTTCACTGTTACCATGGGGGAAACTGATGAAGAGGGGCATGATGGGAGATTTACCACATGTCGATCTGTGTGGAGTACTCCGAGGATCCCAGGAGGACATCGGGAGGCCGGTACCAGAGAGTCACCACCTCGTTGGAGTACGTCTTGGTGGGGACGGACTTCGCCCTCGCCAGACCTGCAGAGCGTCGGCAAACATCAGCAGCCTGGAACCGGAGCGTTTCCATCGGAAACGGCCTTCTGCATTTAGCAGTTTTGGAGCTGATTTTTCAGCCAATTTATGCTAAAAACTTTTTTGCCTTCCTGTTATCAGCTCTCTCTCTTTCACACAGACTGAACAGGAGCTGTTGAGGTTCCTCTTACCAAAATCAGCCAACTTCAGTTCCCCTCTTTCATTGATTAGGAGGTTCTGTGGCTTCAGGTCCCTGTGGAGAACTTTCCTCTTGTGACAGTAAGACAGCCCTCGTAAAATCTGGAACAGGAAGATCTGAAAACGCACATTTCAGGATCTAATGAATTTACTGTCATCTGAGCAAACATTTAG